GTGGCTCCCCCACTCCACCCTGCACAGCTGGGCCCTGTGGTGACATGCCTGTGTGTGGGATGCAGGCTCAGCTGTCCCAGCACAATGGCCATCATTCCATTGAACAATGACCTTGACTCCAGGGAGCAGGAGCCATGGAGACTTACCACATGGTCAGTCCTCCTCCAGGTGGGCAGGACCCACCGCCTGGAGCCCCCTCTCCCTGGCTCCCCTCCTTCACTTGCAGGCAGTCGCCTGCTCTCCGGTGGGAGCAGCTAAGCGCCAGGCAACAGGAAGCTCCTCGCCCCCCGCTCACCTCCAGCCCACGGTGCAGCCCCCCAGGCCTCACCTCATTCCTGAGAACTGGAGGCTCTGGCCCGAGATGGTGGGAGGGATTCCTGCTTCCCAGAAGCTGCCAGCAGCCTGCCTGACACTGGCCAGCTCCCCTGGGCCCTGCTGAGGGGCAAGACAGCGACAGGACGAGCAGCTGGGCAGTACTTCTGTAGCCCCATGCTCGTGGTCCAGGGCAAGCCATGTTATGGGACTGTTGTGAAACCCACCAGCTTGAAGACAGATGGGGGAGTCCTGCTAAGAAGCTCCCCTTCTCTCTGGGGGTGAGGCAGGAGGCACTTTCAGAGGCTCTGGGTCCCTCACTTATAGTTCCCACCAGAACCCTGGGAGAGACAAGGAAGCTGACAGGAAACTTTGCATTTAGGGCTGCAGGTGGCACATTGACATTATGACTACTTCCTTAAAACCCGTTATCAAAATCCCTTCAGCTTTAATTTTTTTTCTAGAAACATCAGTCTGAATTTTTGTGTGTGTGGCATCCAAGTACACTTTATTATACATTTATAAATTCAAAAAATATGAATGGAGTGACTTCAGCCATTGAGATCCCAGCCTGTTTGTGGTGTGATGTGATGAAGACTTTGGGACGTGGGTTCACAGCCTTGGCTGCTCCTCAGAACCATCTGAAAAGCCACTTACAAATCCCAGTGTTTTGGCAATGTCACTTCTGGGTCGATACCCAAGAGAATTGAAGGCAGGTACTTGAGGAGATGTTTATACACCATGTGCACAGTAGCATTGTTCACAATAAGCAAAAGACGGAAACAACCCGAGTGCCCATTGATGGGTGAATGCATAAATAAAGTGTGGTACATACATGCAATGGAACATTATTCAACCTTAAGAAGGAAGGAAAACCTGACATATCTACAACATGGATGAACCTTGAGGACTTTATGCTAAGTAAAATGCGACAGTCACAAAAAGACAAATACTGGATGATTCCACTTCCAGAGGCACCTAGAGTAGTCAAGTTTATAGGGACAGAAGGTAGAATGGAGGTTGCCAGAGGCTGGGAGGGAAAAGAGAGTGGGACATTAACGGGTATAGAGGTTTAGATGGGTATAGAGTTTCAGTTTTGCAGGATGAGAAGAGTTCTGGAGATGACTGGTGGTGATGGTTACACAAAAATGTGAATGCACTTAATGTCACTGAACTGTACACTTACAAATAGGTAAAATGGTAAATTTTATGTTATGTATACTTTATCACAATTTGTAAAAATTCCAGTGTTTAGGTTCTACCCCAGGCCAATTTGATCATAGTCCCAGAAATAGATCCCAGGTACTGGGTTCCAGTGCACAGTCCAGATTGGGAGCTAGTCCTGAAGGTTATTCCAGTGCTATGAGATGTCAGCAGATTTCCAGGAGGCTTCAGGGGAGTGGCTGAGGCTTGTCTTAAAAATGCTGATTTGCTGCAAAAATGAAAAATAGAGAAATACTGATCAGTTGCCCAGATTACTTGTAGAATTATTAAAATTCTGTTTGGGCTCCACTTATAGTAAACAGACACTTGCGTTCATGTGGTCTTCAACCTCAATTGCCTGTGCTCCCTTCACTAATGAATATGTGTTGAGTACCATGATGTGCCAGGCACTCTCCAAGGTGACAGTGAACAAAATAGCAAAGTCCCCTGCCCACACAGAGTTTCCATCCTACTCAGGGAGACAGACACAATTTAGTAACTATGTAGAAAATAGAATATGGTAACTTCAATGGAGAAAAATGAGCAAGTGAACTATGGTCTGAATGTTTGTCATCTCCAAAGCTCACATGGGAGCTTGATTCCAAATGCAGCAGTGTTGAAAGGTGGGACCTTTTAGAAGTGATTGGGTCATGAGGATTATGCTCTCATGAATGGTTCTTGTTCTAATGGGTTATCACAAGTGTAGACTGGTAGCTTTATAAGGAGAGCAAGTGAGCACGTTAACAAGCTCTCTTGCCCACCCCTCACCAAGTGATACCTTGGCTGCCATGGGACTCTGTACAGAGTTCCCACCAAGACGAAGGCCCTCACCAGATGTATCCCCTGGACCTTGGACTTCCCAACCACCTAAACTGTAAGAAATAAATTTCATTTTGTTATAAATTACCCAGTTTCAGATATTCTGATATCAGCAACAGAAAACTAACTAATACAGCGACTTAAGGAGAATTAGGAGTCGGGGGGGTGGGGGGTGGTAGAACAGGGTGGTTATAATAGGGGTTGTTTTTTAAAAGATCTACCCGACTGGGCACTATAGGGCTTAAGACAAAATGAATATACATAAGAACTATAGTCTAGTGAGTATATTTGTTTCTCATAGTAGTAGAGGTTAACAATTCTGAAACTACCTGTATACTAGGATTAAACAGATCAGTTAATACATCATAGATAATGAGACCTGTGTACCTTACCCAAAGAGAAAAAACTTTACAAATAAGCAAGGGGGGAAGATGCTAGAATGAACCCTATACTTCTAGATTATAGCCAGAGAGATCAGTATGAGCTCCCGTTTAATACGTGTACAATGAGTACACAGAAATAAATACATATGAACGTGTATACATGTGTTAATATGCACACGTTTTTTCTAGTCCTGCCTGCTGAGACAGCTTAGACACTGATGCCCAGGAGCAGTAAGCACAGCAGCACCTAGACTCTGGTTCCTAACACCACTCTCCAGTAAAGGGAACCAGGGATCCACAGAGAAGTGTCTGAGTCTAGGGCTGGGGAAGGGAAAATATAAGATGAGCTTGGAGCATCTTGTTGTGCTAGAAAGCAAGTGATTTAAAAAAATATTGGGAGCAAGGGGTGAAAGGGTGGAGATGGCAGTATTTCAAAAGGAAAAATCCTGAAAGAGCTACTAATGGTCAAAGCCAAAACAATTTTAGCAGCAAAACTAAATAATAATAGTATTTGATTATACCCCAAATAATAAAATAAATAGCCATGAGCCCATGCTGATATAAATAAATGATAGAACACATAAGGAAAATGGGAGAGAAGGAGCACATCTTTCTTACAGAGTAATCACAATAACAAATGAGAAAGGGCTGAGGGAAATAGAAACCACCATGAGAATAACACACAGTAACAACTGCTGCAGGCAAGACCCCCTGAGGTGTGCTAAAATGCATGCTCAAAACTTTGCTGAGAAGCACAACATCGGCACAGCCTCAAAGCTCTACCCAGAATCTTTCCTGATTTCTTTGGTAGTTTTAACACATGACCACACACTCTTCAACACTCCTGCCTCCAGGACTTGAGGCTTAGTTGCCCTCTGCTAAGGGGCAGAGTACAGAAAGGGCAAAGCAGTGACTTCACAGTGGGGAGATCTGGTGACACCACCTTAACCAAGGGAAGAAGGTGGCACCACAGGTGATGAGTCGTGCTGATGTCATGTGCCCCTGGGCGTGGGGAGATGAGACAGACACAGCACTCCTATGCCATCCGCCCCCAAAACCCACAGCTTTGGTGTCACCATGAGAAGCACCAGACAAGCCCAATTTGAGGAAGATTATACAAAATATTTGACAAGTATTATTCACAGGTGTCAAGGTCACAAAAAACACTGAGGAACTGTCCCAGATTGGACTAAAGAGACACAAGTAAATGCCACAGAGGATGGGGGGATGGGGGGATGGGGGATGGGATGGGATCCTGAAAGAGAAAAAGCCATTAGTGGAAAATATGGTGCCGTCTAAATAATCTATAGTTTAGTTAATAGTACTGTAGTTTAGTTAACTGTATTGTACTGGTGATAAATGCACCATGGTTTTGTGAGATGTTAACGTTAGAGGAAGCTGCAAGAAGGACCAGGAACTCTCAGCACTATCTTTGCAACTCTTCAGTAAATCTAAAACTCTTTCAAAATGAAAAGCTAGATCAAAAAAGGAGCCATTGGCCTTGGAGGCCTTTCAACAATAACAAGTAATAACAAGGAATAGTCTCAATGAGGCCAGACCTTCCACATGTGGAAGCAAAAGGCTTGGTTCTCAATACTCCTCGGGGAGACCCAGGCCAGCCTGACCACTCCTCTGTGCCTCTTAGAGACAAAGGCTGACCACCACCCTCTGGTAGCAGGTGAGAGAAAACAGCCTGTAATATTTAGCTTTTAACTTCTATCAAGGGGGATGAAGAGCTGAGGGGGGATTTTCAAACAACATTTTCTAAGCAATTCAAACACTAGTTAAACTTAATCAATCGACCTTGTCACACAGTAAGCAGTTTCACAGAAGTGAATTTCGTATGTTATGAAAGTGGGGGCCACCCTATCTCACAAGGATCTTTTGGCCAGTTACTTAGCTCGTAGACCTCCATGAAGGGGTCTGGGGACCCAGCCTGGCGTGTGTGGGGTCTGGTGACCCGCCCTGGCATATGAAGGGTTTTTGACTCAGTCTGGGAATGGGCTTGACAGGTCTGGGAGCTCCAGACCCAGCCCTAGCTCAACAATTGGCCCAGTTGGCAGGATTACTGGATTAGTGGCAGGTAAAAGAGCCCAACAACTATCATGGTCACCTAGCTTTACAATTGACATCACAAACAGGATTAAGAGCACGACAATTGGCGCTGTGAGTGGGATTCCAGACATTAGCCATAGCCCCACACCTGTTAACTTGAGCTGATTACAGGTTACACCTGGCTGGTTCTGGACTCTTGAAACTGTTGGTCTTGATGCCTTCATTTTTATTTCTCTCTGATTTAGTCTCCACATGTCAGCACAGCAAAGAGCTGTCGAAGATGCATGCTGTCTGCTGCTAGAGAGACGTCCTCGCCCATCAAGACCGAAACACAACTGCAAGAGAGGACTGGTGTCGTCTTACTCCGATGCAGGTGACAGAATCATTTTTTAAGTTTGAACATCATTTTTATCTACATAAATTTCATGAGGAAATGGTCTTGTAGAAGACAAGGGGGAGGGGAGGGCCGTCAGGGTTGGGTGCAGGGGAAGGAAGTTTTTATAACTTGGGAAGAGAACAACTGGTGATTCCAGGATTTCTCAAGATCCCTCTTGCCTCTTCCCTCCAAAGAGAGTATTAAATGTATATGTGACCGTGTGTGTGTATGAGTGTGTTTGTGTGTACATATAGAGTGTAGACTCAGTCACTGACATCAACACCTGTAATGGAAAGAACACAGAAGCACAGGAGCCCTGGCCCTAGTCTGAGCTTTACTACAAACTCTGTCTCTGGAGAAACACCTGAACTTTTCCAGGCCTCGGTTCCTCACCTATTAACCCAGGGGGTTGAACAATGGTAACTTTTATCCTTATATCTCAGGTATAACTTTAGGAACTAATGATGAGACTGTGAAGTTAGAAGTAGAAAAGTATTGAGTATTGTGGAATTCATCCAACACCATTCTGTCTAAACTAGTTCACACACACACACTAGGCGAGAGTAATTCAAGTGCTCTCTCTTCTTAGAATTTCTCAATAAGCCCAAGAAGAAAGTTGACTGAACATTTATAAAATATTTCTGGATGATGTCAACAGCCATCCCTTTCATAACAGGGAAGTGTGTATGTACGTGTGTGTGTTGATCACATAGGTCAGTTTATTGCTGTCTGACAATCTCCCGGGACTGACTTCACCACGAGCAGTGTTGAACACTTGGTTTCAAAGAATGTGGGTCTAAGTCTAAGTGAGCATCCTTGGCCTCCTTTCTTTTCTAAGGCAAGAGACAGTCCTCTAATTACAGCATACAACAAGAGTTAAAAATTAATTACTTCTGTCTACCCAGGACAGGCAGTGGAAGACTTTGCTCTCTGGTGACCAACCCCCACCATGACCCATGGCTCCAGGCGGGTGCCCTACAGCCCAGATAAGGAGGCATGCCCTGGGGGCCCTGCTGCCACCCCAACACTGGTGGGGCTGGAATGACGCATGTGGGGTGAAGAGAGAGGAAGCCAGAAGCCAGCTCAGAATGCACACCCCGCCTGGCTATGAGCAGTCAGGGCTTGCTGCACGCAAGGCGCAAAGTGAGGATGAGACTTTGCAAACATGGGACAAACTCAAAAAACTCTTTCTTAGTGACTGGGTTTACTCACATCAAAAATGTGAATGCCTGTTGTTAGCAAGGGGCTCACAGGCATTCTCAGACATCAAACTCTGTACAGACAGAAAAACTGCATTCTGACAAATTTAAGGAGAAATAAACCAAAACTATTCATGGATTTAATTGCTCATAAAACACAGATGGACTGTAAAGATTAAGAGGGAAAAAATCTGGGCAAAATAAACATGGAGTTAGTAAACACAGCAGAAACTATTTGAGACATTGGGGACAAAAATTCTAGGGTCAGATCACCCAGCCCTGTTGTTAAACTTCCTATCTCAGCCACAGACAGGCCATGGCCCTGAGTGGCCCATGCAGGGCAGGGTGCCTGGTGCAGCTAGAGCAGGCGGGAAGAGCCTTCGGATGCCCAGTGCATGCGCAGAAGAGCGCTCCACACGGGGGGCAGCTGTCACAGCACAGCGCACCTGCAAGTCATCTGTGTCCACTGCATCTCCATCAACTCCGGCCATTATAACTAGGAAGAGGAGGAGCTAATAAACTGAAAAAGAAGTCATATAAAAAAGTTAGGAGAATTCCTGGATTTGGAGATGACTTTTCAAATACATCTCTTCTAAAATATTGGTGGACTCCCTAAGCATTTCCCAATGTTTCTAACAGTTGAATTTCAAATTTGACTCATTTTTGGGGCTTACTGGCCTTCATGAGTATTTTAGCCATCATGAAAATAGAATCTGGGGGACATTTTCCCAAATGTCAAGACGCATTATTAGTTATTTACTCAGAGTAATTACACCACAAAATCATCAGCCTTCATCAGTTTAATCCAGGTTAATGGTGAATGCATAGATTCGTTTTGGAAGCCTCCCTCAAATTACATAGTGGAAAAAACCCAAAGATACTGTCATTAGGGGCTTTAATAGTTACTCTCAGCAAGGCCTTTGACATTCCAGATTAGCTAAAGCTGTATGGTAACTAAAATTAGCAAATAATTTTTTTTTTTCCTTTTTGTCTTTTTTCGTGTCCGGCAATGGATCGCAACCCTCAGTGTCGCGCCCGTACCGGACCGAGACCGGCAACGGGA